AAAATTATATTGAACTAATTTTACAAAGTATAACTAATAATTTTTGGAAAGATACATTAATTGCCTTCAAGAACATAGAAGACAAAATGAAAATAGATTCCTGGGAAGATTTCATCTCTCAACCATTATGGCACAATAAAAAACTCAAAATTGACAATAAGCCCATTTTTTACTCTAAATGGTTTATCAATGGTGTAATATTTATTTCAGATTTGTTAGATGAACAGGGAACTTTTCTAAAATTAGAAGAACTTCAAGCAAAATTTAATATAGAAACCAATTTTTTAACCTATGCAAGTCTACAGAAAGTTATAAAAGTAGCTATGGCTGTAGAAAAAGTAAACAAAGAAAGATCAAACCCAAAGCCCATTCTACCTTTTTATTTAAAATTATTCTGTTTAGCTAAAAAAGGAACAAAACCTATGTATAATATTTTGAATACAGAACATGTAGTACCTTTCTCAAAAGTGAAATGGAGTAAACATTTTGAAATTCAAGATTCCCTATGGGAAATGCTATACAAAATTCCTTTCCAATGTACAAAAAGTTCTAAATTACAATGGCTACAATTCAGAATAAATCAACATATCTTAGTTACAAATAAAATTTTATATAAAATGGGTTTGAAAGATACTAAATTGTGTAGCTTCTGTCAGACATGTGAGGAAACAATTTTTCATATTATGTGGGAATGCCAGAAGGTTCAAGAACTTATAAATAGTTTTACCATTCTTTGCGAAGCTCATAATATAGAATTTCCAATAGATAGTTGTACATTCATACTTGGAAACCCAATACCCAATAGTAAGGAATTAAATACAATACTGTTATGTATTAAATCATTTATATACAGAACTAAATGTCGTAATGAGGTTTTGAGATTACAAGGATTACGTGGAGATGTTAAAACATTACTATCTACCATGAAATATAGCGCAACAAAAAGTAATCAAATTAAAGAGTTTAATAATAAATGGAAAAATTGGCTTTCACTTATGTAAGACCCTGCAAATAGGCACTTAAAGATATTTTGCACAATCCTTGGACATACTCTTACCAGTACTTTAATGAACAGACATTTATCTTTGATCATGCTCTTCTTTTACCATTCTCAACCCCCTCCCCTCTCTCTCCTTCTTTCTTTCTCTCTCTCTCTCTTTCTCTCTATCTCTCAGTTGTCACAATTATAATTTTTTTTGTTTATTTGTTTATTATATTCATTAATGATATAATGTTGTAATCCAGATTATAGACATGTGTGTGACAATTGGTATTAATAAAAAAAAAAAAAAAAAAAAAAAAAAAAAAAAAAAAAAAAAAAAAAAATTGTATGAGACCACTAGATAAACTAGCCTTGTGTTATGATAATTAACTTATCCAGCGCCGTCATGGTACATTTTAAAATAACCAAATTTGCTTTATCCTTCAAGTGATACTAGTTCTTTCTCTACTCTTTGTTTCTACCTCAACGTCTCTAATGGTCAGAAATTTGCAATTTGGCCACTTCATAGTCGTTTGTACACTATCAAGAGGATAGAACCGTAGAACTAAACCTTGCTTTGGCGGAGCCATCAGTGATGTTTGAGTTGGTGGAATCCAAATTCACCATCGCCAAAAATAATTTTCAGTACTAACAAATTAATTTATGCATTGGGGAATCTAGCTGGTTGCAAGAAGCAAGATGGTCCAGTTACCCCCATCCTCTATTTAAAAAAAAAAAAAAAGTTTTGCCAGTAAATGGTGTAATTAAATGAAATATGAAGATAACGAACAGTATTCAATCTCGAAAGTCCAATGAAACGATACACATTTGGAGCAGAGCAAAAACGGACCTCAAAATTTAGAGGTGGGATCAGGTGCAATGCTCTCTAGGAAATATTGCTATTAAATTCCCTACCATTCCCCTCTTCATTGATTTTTTTAAAATCTAAATTGGCGTTTCTCTCATGTTTTTCAGAAAATTTCAACTGGAGCTTTCAATGGATATGAACCAGGTTTTTGTTTTACAAAATAATTTGCGAGTAAAAACAAAATAAAATTTGCACTTTTCTTTTTCACATAAATTTTTAAAACGTATTTAATCCTTTTAAAAAAGATTTATAAAAGATATTTTTATGACCGCGCAGTTTGGGTCTAAAAAGATTCACGTGTCCAGCTACACGTTCCGAGTGTTTCGTGTGCGGAAAACTTGGTCATTATGCGAAAGTATGTTTCTCTTCTGCAACCACACCTTACCGTTCCTCCCAAAGGAATACATTGATTAAAAAGGATCAAGCCAAGGGGTCAAGACGGGCCTGCTTTAAGACAAACCCGGGAAACCCGTCTGTCGGATCGTCTGACAACAAGTCGTCAAAATGCGATTCTACTGCAGGTATGTGTATTTCTCGGACTGCTTCTAAAAGTAGTCCAAAGAGTGTTGCTGTTGCGGAGACGCAAAGGAAGAGTGTACTTTATCTGCAGACTAAGTCCGTAAGCAAATGGCACAGGGGTTCAAGAAGAATAAAGGAATATTATGACAGACTGCAGCTAGTGAAATTGTTACCATTTCAAAACCTTGATTCTGAGGACGTCCGCAATTTATTTAAATCAACGGGCCTCAGCAACCAACTAGCTGCAATGCAGACTCAGAATAAAGCCCTTAAGACAAAAGTCAGTGGACTAATACGGAAATGTGATAATCTTCAGACCGTGGCATCCGCTCTTCACAAACAAATCTCAAAGTTACAAAACAGACCAAACGAACAAAGACCATACGACTCAACTAGGAGACGTGTTGACAAACAACACCCTTTCCTCCCTCTACCAACACCAACCAAGCATTACTGGTACCAACAACCTAGTGTTCCACATGCCAATACCCGGTGATTCCTGAGACGAGGACGTCTCATTTTCCGAAGCGAGAGGGAATTATCACGGTGTAAATTTTGATAAAAAGAATTTTAGTGGCATGTTTTAACTGTCTTTGAAATATACTTTTAATCTATTGTAATTACTTAAAACAACATGAAAGACTTTAATTATGCTAATTACCATGCAACTCAAACCGCGTCAATTTAATCAATTTACTCAACATGTCATGAGTTATTCTATCTAAGCCATCTGCCACTCATGCTCAGAATTGTGCTAATTGTCATTGTTATACTTTATTATTTATATGTTACATGCATCATTGTTAATCAGTTAAGTCCTAGGTTTCGGATTGTTCGGGTGTAAATTTTGGATTTCCAGAATTCACCCTACCGACCTAAGTTTATAATAAAGTGCTATTCCATCGTAAGCATTTTGATGTTTCATCGTTGCCGGAAAGTTTTACACTTATTTTCCCCGGTGATATTTTCATGGAAACTATTTTTTAACTTTAACAGAACAATCGATTTTGAAAAAAAATTACCAACAGCTAAAATTTGGTCTCAATAGTAGTACATGTAAGTTATTTTGTGAAATGGGACGAAGGATGTTGCGTCGTGAGCCGCAAATGAACTTTCAAGATGATATCATCTTTTAGTTTAAACCATATTTTATTTGAAAATGACAAGCAGAAAATACAGGTAAGTAGTACAAAAAAATCCAAAAGGATTCAGAAACAAGTTTGAAAACTTATACTAATCCGTTTCCTTATTATTATGATTAAGATGACAGACCCTTATTAGATAGTTACATAACACGGTTTGAAGCTGCTTAAAAACTAATATTTGAAATTGACATACATGTTAAATTAGAAATCATGTCGATTCACACAAATGAATAACGTCATTCATATCATCTTTTAGGTTCGACAACTTTCAGAAGTGTTTCTGGTATGTATGTATTTTTGTGGTAGATATATGCCGTTTTTCATAGACATCGCTAACTATAGGTACCTAATTTAAACTGCATTTGCATACTCTGATTATGCAATGAAAGTCCTTACGTTTTGATACCTAAAAAATTATATGGACCCTACGGATGACCTTTTGACTTTTGAGATCTTCTCAGCATCTTTCTATTGTGATATCCTCAGTATGATACACTGCCATTTCTCATGATAGTCCAGGGTACACCACTTATGGACTAGCAGCTTCTATACTTTGTTGTTTATTTGTGTTTTGCAGCTAAATTAAACTTTTGTGTTGGTCAACAACGTCTTCCTGTTTCATAGGCATGCGATATGTCGTAGTTCATTTCTGTCCCACTGTGATACAAACACACAGTGATGGTAGATAGAGATCAGTTATCTGATATTACAACAAAATGTTCGCTCTCTCTCAGTTCTTAATTGTAATTTTAAGTTAATACGGATACAGATAAATACAGTTTACCGCTTTGATTTAAACGTACCACGGATTTTGAAATTTGTACTTTGAACAGCACCAAAAATGAAGGTTTTGATTTTGTTCTGTTTAGCATAAAATGATGGATCAAATGGTAATTAGTCATGTTCACGATTTCGTAAATTAACAAATGTCCATTCTGACAGACAGACGGTCATTCATGCACCTTTCGGTCACGGACACTTTGTTTGAAGTTTACAATAACCTGTAGCTATTTGCATATCTCACATTTATATAATTGTTTATATTGTCTTACGTATCACAATTTATATCTACCCATAATATTTATCTCCCTAGACATACTGATAAACACTGTTATGAAAAACTGGGGTTAATCAGGAAATAAATAAGCCATCAAAATGACTGAGGTGAGTTCTCTTTTTTATGTTGTTTCACTGAAAGTTTATAATAAAAAAAAAAACATTTTTTCCTCTTCAGTGTGGGTCAAAGTTAACACCCACACAATTCTTTTTTGCGTGGTATCACCGATTGTACTTGACAAATACATCCCTTCAAAGAAAATCACTTTGGTTGTTAATACTAACTTCAGCTACTATCTGCTTTGTAATCGCCGAATCTTTCTATATCCAAATGAGCAAAAATATGTGAGTACTTCATCACATGACTCTATCATATGCATGAATCGTATGTTCTTATACAGTAGGACTTCCGGAGCCTAGTAGTGTAACCATGGAAAAGTATAAAACATTGGAGGAAGATGTTGCGGGGAATAACACCACTATACAGAAGGACGGGGGAGGATTCGAGATAGCCGCTGGTCAAGTCAGGGTTCCTAAATCAACAGGAGTAAGTTGCACTATATGCTGAGTTATTTTAGGAATGACTAAACTTTGCCGCAAATTTTTACGTGATCGGAAGGTCGTGGAATCAAGCTCCGGTCACGAGGAACCCAAGTTGATATAAAATAGGTAGACCGGGTAGTCTTTCGAATTGAAGCCATTATCACGGCAGGCGTTGGCACTGCTCAGTGGTCCTGACTGCTAAATAAGGTCTAAATTTGAAGCCCTTCACCGATATCTCGTGATATTTCATAAGAGTGAAATAGTCTTGAAATAATCAAGCTGCAATCAATCAATTAATTATCACCAATCAATTAAATTTGTTATCACATTCAAGGCTGAGGTAGGCGAAGCAACGATATAGATGTACATATATATATTTGGTGAAAAGGCTACCTGGAACATCGTAATTGTAAACAGGCCCCATGTCTTTGCAGAAGGCGTTCAGCTTCCGGAAGTTATGGGCATACACTGGACCTGGGTTTCTGATGAGTATAGCCTACCTTGACCCCGGAAATATAGAATCCGACCTTCAAGCCGGAGCCATTGCAAAATATAAGGTAGCACTGAAAGCCTACCACAAACGAATTTTTAAATGCAGTAGACAATAATGAATGAAATGTTCTTCTAATGAATATTTTTTAAAACATTTATTCTTTTAACCAGTCTTCCTTCTTTTTCATGATTTCGTTAGTTACTATGGGTTTTGATGTGGTCCACTGTACTGGGACTAATGCTTCAGTTACTAGCAGCCCGACTGGGATGTGTCACAGGTACTTTTTCCGTAATTAATGGAAATATGCTTTGGCAACTTTTTTTTTTGCGTGACAGCGATAATTATTATACCTACACTTTCTAGAAAGTTCGGGTATTTTGTTGTTATCATTATTCATTAAGTGAAGATTGGCCCTATTCAGTATTATATACACTTTTGTTGTATGCGATTATTCTTTGAGCTATTCTTATCATATGTTTAGAATTGATTATTGGTAAATTATTTTATAGGAATGAATCTCGCAGACGTTTGTCGTCAGGAATATCCCAAAATTCCGCGGTACATACTTTGGCTAATGATGGAAATCGCCATTATAGGAAGTGACATACAGGAAGTCATAGGATCATCGATTGCGATCAATCTTCTCTCCAATAAATTGTAAGAAATACTTCTAAGTAAACTATGGATTCAAAATGTGATCATGTTAATGGAAGTGTTTCTAAGGTTTTATTACATACATGTATTTGATATAGAATGACGATTTAGTAGACCGGATAAAGCATTTTTAAAAGCTATTTCCCGTCTTTCCGCCCTAGGATTCCAATTTGGGCTGGTGTCCTCATTACCGGGGCTGACACATTCACGTTTCTTTTCTTGGAGCAGTTTGGTTTGAGGAAGTTGGAGGCGTTCTTCTGTTCCCTCATTACAATAATGGCCGGAGCCTTTCTCTATATAGTGAGATCATTCTTTTAAGAAAGTTTTCGATTGGTAACAACAATTTGACAAGATGTAAAATTTCTATATTGGATTCGTTCTAGAGTGGTTTCGGTTATTTCAGTGATCTTGATATTTTGGTAGTATAATTTGTGTTTGATTTTCTTTGCAGTATATCAAAATTAAACCCAACCAGGGAGACATCCTGATTGGTCTATGGTTTCCATGGTGCCAGGATTGTAATAAGGATGCGATACAACAATTGGTTGGAATCGTGGGAGCAGTCATTATGCCACACAATATTTATCTTCACAGTTCATTAGTATTAGTAAGTTGTTAAAAGAACTATTCAAGTTTACATTTGTGCAATCACTCTCAAGATCCTTGTGTAATATTAATATGACAACACAAATCCGTTGACCAATTAATTCTTGAAAAAGGTATCTGTTTGAATGCATAGGATTTTGGAAAACATACAAAAATTATAAAATAAACATTACATTGAATGTTGTTGTTTTGTTTTTTTTTTTAGTTTTTTTCCTGGAACTGAAACTGTTAAAACCATTTAATTATTTTAGTGTAATTATAGCATTTCTCAATGCGACATGAAATTACAACAGGGAGAGCATTAAGAAAGTCTTTGTGTTTATTCATATCATTTTGAATATACGAAAATTTTAGGTTTGATTTTTTACAATGCTTGTTGCAATATACACTTGCTTGAATTAATTAATTATTTTTTTTTTAATAAATAACGATTTTTTTGTTCAGTCTCGTATTATAGATCGAACAGACAGAATTGAGATTAAAGAGTCGATCAAGTACAACAGCATAGAATCGGGTACGTTATGATCCCCACCCCCAGTGGAGTCCAAAAGAGTTAAGTAAAATATTTTAATTTACTCAAAAAATAGTTACCTGTGAGTATCAATTGTTAAAACACGAAATGCAAAGTGTCCTGGGAATAAAACAAATGTAGTCAGGTCAACTCGGCAAAATTGGTAGTAGAAACACATTTTTTATACAGCAGCTGTGTATATTTAGAGGAAAGCTTTACAAAGCACGAACGATAAATGATTTTGGGCATGAAGAGAATTTATATGAAGAAGTACATAATGAGATTGTCTTGTTCATTTTCAATGCAGGGTGCCTGCAAGTTTCCCTGGGTGAAATGTTCAAAGATAATGAAGTATTTGTGAACAGAAGCTTTACGTACCTAAATTTGGAAAATACATGCAAATAATGTATTCAATTATTTGATTTTGGTCATATTTAATGTCAAGAATGCTTTAATCTATTACAAATTGTGTGTGTTTTTCGTTTATGCTATCTGACATCAAATAGCAGATCACCTTAGCTACATAAAACTACCATGAGATTAAAATTATTCAGTATGCAGTGTTAGGGTTCTATCGCACCTTACTGGATAGTGCTAAAAGATGTCGTCACACCTTATTGGAAGTACGGCGACAGAATCATGAGAATGCAAATCCTTGGTAACTTTGATGTAAGTCATCCCCGCCGCTTTTCGATGTACTAGAGTAATCAACGCATGAAGACCGAACGATTATAAGAAATGCATCGCACAAGCAACGGTCAACTAACGTTACATTTCAGTAACGAATGAGTACCTTAACCGTGTAAAACGAAGCACATCTGAAAAACCTGTTTTCGTACGATAGATTAACGGTCGTGCGGTCAGTGTCCAAGGCAAGTCCGGTGTATCCGTTACATGACCGGTAATTGACCAGTTGTGACTTAGGTCCTTTGGACTCTAATGTAAGCAGAAATGTCAAGTACAGAAGAAATGCATGGGTTCCGTACGAAATTTATGCCCACCTCACTTTAAAGGGACACCTAGTCCACCGGTGTTCGTTCCAAGTTTTGAAAATGCTCAAAACTTATGGCCATATAAAACGAACTTCACCGGACGTCTTCGGACATGAACGTACTCACCAAGTAAGAATCGGACAAAAAAACGTGTGTAAACGTAGACGACTGAAGGGATTGAAAATTTTGTCACCTGTTTGACGTCCGTAAGCGCTATCCGGTAAGGTATGACTGAGCCCGTAGATGTCCCTGAACTTGAACAAATGAGTAATTACTGAGTATTGAGCCAATATCAAATTCGGTGTGTTTTACCATAGGCACTTGGGGTATGGACACCCCCCCTTTTCCGTTTTTTTTTTCTTTTTAAATCTGGGTTCGAGTCACCTTTTTCCTATTTTTTGTATTCTAATATGCACTATATGTTACCAATAATGTAACTTTTTTGTTTCTATAAGCTGTTTTTAAATATATCGTTTTCGACTGATACATAAAAAGAGAGAAGGCTTCTTCTTCACGGGGGGGGGGGGGGGTCCATACCCCAAGTGCCTATGTATTATTCTAGGCCAGTATCAGGAATGTTATTCTTATGATCATTCTCTTTGTAATAGATTAATGCTATTACATGCTTTTACAGCAATAGCTCTGTTTGTCTCCTTGCTTGTCAACCTCTTTGTGGTATCTGTGTTTGCCGCAGCCTTCTCAGAACCTAAGTACGCCGACACAGCCAGCTTGAAGGTCGCGGTAAGTAACTCTAGAAACATGGGGTTTTTAATGACTTATTTTACTTTTATTAATGTATATACAAGTGTACCATTTAAATCAGAGCATTGTAAATCGTATATACTTATTATTTTGCATTCAAATAATGAGCAATCGATCAAATAATATAGCAGCATACATGTATTTGTCCACCACAACTTTGGGATTTTCTTTTGTGTTCCTTTCAGAAGACAACCAATATGATTTTTCTTTTTTTTTTCTACAGGGTGATTGGTTGTATGAAAACTATGGTTTAGCGATGAAAATCGTGTGGGGAGTAGGAATTCTAGCAGCAGGACAGAGTTCAACTATGACGGTACATGTTTTGCAATCAATCTTTTCTTTTCCCTTTTGGCATTGATCATTTGAGCCAATTTTACCTTCCTTTGTATTTTTTTTATTTCAGGGAACATATGCTGGTCAGTTTGTGATGGAGGTATTACTTGAAGTATTAAACTCAAATGTTACATCAAGAAACTGTGTTGTTTCCTTGCACCTGCATATTATCAGCACAAGTCCATATAAAGGTTGTCTCCAGTAAATCTTACAATATTTTAGAAAGAAGATGGGTGAACATGTCGAGCAAAAAGCCTATAGTGTGACAAACATGAAGGTGAAAAATTAAATCTCAATTATTTCAAAATTTTCCTTGATATTTCATTTAACATTAAAATATACTTTATATAAAATCTCTACAATTTGCAAAAATATCATTGAAATTATTGAAATTTTTATTAAAAAATTAAAAAAATATTATTGAGATTGAAATTATTTGCTTATGAAATATTGTACATACACTAAAGAGGGCAAAATGAGTCATTTTCTCATACTATAACGCTATTTTTCGATATGAGTGGGTCTTCGCTCCATTTTTTTTTTGAAAGTTAATCCTCGAAGTTTGCATAAAAATATACATTTTTTGGTTTCCTAAAATATGAAGCAAAGACCCACTATACCTTAAAAATATACTTTTATGACACATCATTCGCATCTTTTCGAGAAATACTTGGAGTCCATTAAGTCAAGGGTCATATCACAAACATGATTTAAATGCCACTGTTCATCAAATCTTGAGTATTCTAGGGATAGCGTGCTAGTCTCGAAAGAAAATGATACTCAGGATTTTTATTGCTAAGGTTCGAACCCCCACGAATATCACATTATTTTTTAAATAAAAGAATAAATTTTCCGAGAAAATTTTCCTCAGAAAGTTTTGTTTATCATAATTTCATACATTTCGATAATGAGAACTTTACTGAATTCACAAATTGAACATGAATTTTATATATTTGAATTTATAGGCTTTCTGCACGCTATGTTCGCCCATCTCCTTACGAGTATTTCTAGCTTTTTGGTAAAAAATGTTTTTAGATAAATACATATATCCTCTTTCTTACAAGAAAGCTCATGTCGCAATTTTGCATGAATTTTTTCCCACTGTATGGAAATCCTGGCCTCGCCGCCGTTAAACAAAATTAAGTCTAGAATTGTTCTCAGGTTTTATGGAGGTGAATTTAAGAATATTCTTGACTGAGTAATTCTCAAGACTTGAGGATTTTTTTTTTTGAGAATTCTCACTGTTTTATGGCGGCGGAGCCTGGTATCAAGATGCGACACATTCCCACTTTAGAACCAAAATAGTTAAGACTATTCTCTGTAACCACTTTAACTTTTTTGTCACGCATAGTCTCCGATTTTGATGAAACTCTACTCATTATTACAACGTGATACCAAAAACATATATGAAATAAAAACTGGTTCCTATGTGTCTTGGTTGCCATGGTAACAGCCGGAAACGTTTTATAAATTAAAAGATTTTCAGATACTTTGAATCTATATTGCGGTTGAATAAAGACTAAGAAAATCGAACAAACCACTCTCAGAAAAACATTATACCTTGTTGCAACCTATGCTATAGAGAGACTAATCAGTAATTAGAATATATCTATCTAAGTAATTGATAACAATGGGTACATTTGAAATACATTTTAAAATGCCGAAAAAAACACTCAATATTTACTAATAAAAGGTGTTTCATGATCACACTCAATTAACAACACTAGGAAAAAAACAAATAAAAATATTCGACTTTAGTAATATATGGTATTTGCAATATTCTATAAATAACTTACATGGTTGCCATGGTATCACAGTGTAACCACACAACAGTTTTGGTTATTGCTGCTATCTTAAGGAAAAATAAGGAAATTCAATCTGGCAAACATTAATCCTTAGGACTTTGTAACACAGACAACATAAGAAAAATTGGGATCAATTGCTACTCTGTAGTGTAATCTGGAAACAATGTACCAGTGGTTAAAGTAATGATTCTTTGGAAAATGTTCGATTTTGTTAACTTTATAGCAATATTAAACCCTATGTGCCGGCTTTTTGCATCCAGTCATAGATTGTGTGGTAGTCAAAATTGAAAGTCAGGTTAGTTGTTCATAAATATCAATCATAAAAGTTTTGGGAATCTATATACAAGGGTACGTACGTATCCAAGGAAAAGAAATATTTTTCAGCTTTTAATACATATTTTTTACTATAATTTCTATAGCAAAGCTCTATTTCAAAGATAGGTTGGGATTAAGATATTTAGAAAATAAATTTGAAATCTCTTTGCAGCAGGGTTGGCCGGGAAATACCAGTGGTAAATACCGGTATTTCCCGTCCCGGGAAATACTACAAATTTTCTCTAAACTTGGAAATATTGGGAAATACTGGGAAATACTAAGTTATTAGAGTTTTTTATTTCTCTAATTCATTCGATCTTATACAAAATTTAAAAATAAAATAAACATAAAAACAGAAAATGAATAATATGGAATATGTCTCAAATTGCTACATAACATACTCAGAATGTGTCGCCTACTCCAGGTCCCATACCCAAAAGCATTCTGAAACATTTCCCTGGCTGTACAAAAACAGGAGTTTTTCAATTCAAGTTTCTTTTCAGTTTTGTAAAATTATTAAGTTTATTAATTATAAATCCAAGAACAAAAAAAATTGTTTTTATCCTTCTATAAACACTGTAGTTATTACAAACAATCAATCGACATGTTGTTTTAACAAATTGCTCTGGACAGTTTTGTGGTCCTGTTTTTGAGAGATAATTACCTTGAGTAAAACTAAAGGCTTCTTCTCAGATTTGATATTCATACCATACTCTACATTTAAGAATTTTCTTAGATCCTTCTTTAGTTACATAAAAACCCAACTGGGATCTTTGTGTTCATTTCATAGACCTTTATAGACTACATCTGACTCAAGCACTCATGATTGGTACATTGTATACTCGTATGAATATACTGTGTTATGATTACATGACTGTATATAAAATGAATTACTTGGAAACCAGAATTTTTTATATCGGGAACAGTGATACCAGGTAGATATCTTAGCCAATAAGGTGTACTACATGTCAATATGAATGAAATATGTACCTATTTCTTATTTCCCAGTATTTCCCGGGAAATACCAGTAATTTCCGGTAATTACCAGTATTTCCCACCGTCCTGGGAAATACGAGTATTTCCCAGTTTTTTGCCAACCCTGCTTTGCAGTATTAAAACCATAGCAACCATTGCCAAACAAAAAGATATTTACCATTTATTCCATCAAATACATGTATGTTAAAAGGATTCGGTTGCATTTCAACCTAAAGTTGATTTTATTTTTGTATGTATGTGTATGACTTTATAAAAAGTAATGAATAAAATTATTACATTTAAATATTTTGTTACCAATAGCTGATTTTCCAAATATGTTTATAATGCATTTAAGACATTAAACCTTTAACTTGGAAACAACCATTGTCCCTTGTCTGTATTGCTGCAAACATTACGTTAAACATGGGGCTGTGAAAATGTTCAAAAATGTCTTTTTCAAACTTTAGGGCATGCTGCCATGATAACCATGACACAAAGCAACCAATTTTTTGCCTGATTTGACTTTACGATATCAAAGACTTTTATTATATAGAGTCGGGAGAAATTCTAAGACTATGCGTGTCACAGTTCGTATATCAAAGTTCAAGTCATTACAGAGAATGGTTCTTAACCTGTGATCTACTTTTCGGCTCATTTCAAATTTTTCAACCTTCTAAGACCTAAAATTGCAGAGCAAAAAGAGTGATTATTAGTCCCCTACCGGTGAAACTGGAGGGGACTATAGGTTTCCTCTGAGTCTGTCCCTCCGTCTGTCTGTCTGTCCGTCTGTCTGTCTGTCAGTCTGTCCCACTTGGTTTTCCGCACTTTTTTCCTAAACGCTTGCAGATATTGAACTGATTTTTGGTATGTGAGTGTATCTTGATGAGTTACAGATCAAGTTTGCATTTCGTTTAGCTTCATTGATTTTTGACGGAATTATGGCCTTTTCAATATTTAAGGGTTTTCCGCAATTTTCTTCTAAACACTTTCAGATATTGAGCTGATTTTTGGTATGTGACTTTACCTTGATTAGTTATAGATCAAGTTTGCATTTAGTTCCGCTTCATCGATTTTTGACGGAATTATGACATTTTCAATTCTTAACGGGAACCAGATTACACTTGCCGGTAGGGGACTAGTATTGCTAATGCAATACTCTCAGTATGCTTGTTTTGATTTCTTTAGTACAGTAACTCTGTAACATCATTTAAATGCAATCAAGGTGTGCTTCAATACTACCCAACAGAATATACGGGGAATGGGCATTTCATTGGGGCTAATGGCACAAATATATATATATATATATATATATATATATATATATATATATATATATATATATATATATATATATATATATATATATATATATATAAAATCGAGACTTACAACCATACAATTTTTTTTTAAAAATGCAAAAATATTAAAACATGCCTAAAACTTTAAAAATACTGGGATTCAGATGCATAGGAAACTTTAAAAAAAATGTCAGTATTAAACCTCATGAAGTTACTACATAAAAATCATTACAAACAAAGGTACATAGCGCGTTCCAGTAAAGGTTCTACCAAGGCTATTTCTTTACTCCGCATTAAAATATTTACGGCAGTGAAGGAGAAACTTCAGCAGTACTGTGCAACAATATATTCGAAAAATGATGTAAATCGGATGTCGATACTTTCAAACTCTAATGAACTTTTAGAAAAATTTTAAATCACAAAATTTTTCCAAAATCCATAACAAACGTAACGACTTTTCATCACTTTATACAACCATTCCCAACGATAAATTAAAGTCTTTTTGACGTGAAAGACAGCTGCTTTTTTTCAATAAAAATGGAACTCGTAAATTTTCTTAACTTGTAATTGGTCATTTGCAGAATTATTTTATTAAAAACATTCTGATTGTACACAAAAGTTCTCTGAAGTTGATATAAAAAAGATGCCTGGGTTTTTGATGACATACCTATGTAATTTGTGGAGATCAAGTCTTTCGACAATCTGCTGGATTTCAAATGGGTACCGAATGCATCCCTTTATTAGCAGAGCTATTCTTTTATTAATTCTTTACTCCTCAATAAGATATTAACAGTGGTGAAGGAGAAACTTCAAGAGTATTGTGCAACAATATATTCGAGAAGTGGTGTAAATCAGATGTGGATACTAAAAAATTCCAAGAAACTTTTGGAAAATTTGAAATCAGAAGATTTTACCAAAATCAACAGCTTAAAAACTTACGACTTTTCAACTTTATACACAACCATTCCCCACGATAAGTTAAAGTCCAGGCTTTTTGATATCATTGACAGCTGCTTTTTCAATAAAAATGGAACTCGTAAATATACTTACCTTGTCATTGGTTATTTGCAAAATTATTTGTTAAAAAACATTCTGATTGTACACACAAGTACTCTGAAGTTGACATTAAAAAGATGCTTGAGTTTCTGATTGACAATATCTATGTGGTTTTTGGATTCCAGGTCTTCCAACAATCTATTGGAATTCCCATGGGTACCAATTGCGCCCCGTTATTAGCGGACCTTTTTTTGTATTCATATGAAGCAGAATTTGTCCAAAATCTTGTACGTGAAAAGAAGAAAAGACTTGCTGTGGCCTTCAACTCGACATTTAGATATATCGACGACGTATTGTCAATTAACAATGGCTATTTCCATTCTTATGTCGATACGATATATCCTGGTCAGCTTGAGATAAAAGATACCACAGAGTCTGACACATCTGTTTCATATTTGGATATTTTACTTGAAAAAGAGGTTTATGGTAATCTAACAACCAAGCTTTATGATAAACGTGATGACTTTAACTTTTCAATCGTCAATTTCCCTTACTTATGCAGCAATATACAACAATTTACACACTGAATTGTCGACGGATTTTCCCGTTTTTTCCTTATCATGACAAGGAGCACACGGCGGGTGTGACCGGTCGGCAGGGGATGCTCACTCCTCAATGGCACCTGATCCCACCTCTGATGTTTGGAGGTCCGTGTTTGCTCTGCTCCTATTTTGTATTGTTTAATGGACTTTTGAGCTTGAATACTGTTCGTTATCTCCATATATTTCATTGAAGCAGAAATCATTTTTTAAAACATTCGTCATGAGAAGAAGAAAACACTTGCTGTGGCCTTTAGCTCGACATTTGGATATATCGACAATTAGCAATAGTTACTTCCATTCATATGTCGACACGAAATATCCCAGTGAACTTGAAATAAAAGATGGTACAGAGTGTCTAACACATCTGTTTTATATTTGGATATTTTACTAGAAATATACATTAATGGCAAACCTTACAACAAAACTTTACGATAAACATGATGACTTCATCGTTAATTTCATTTATCTATGCAGCAATATACCATTATCACCTGCATATGAAGTTTATGTCTCCCAGTTGATTCGATACGCAAGAGCATGCTCTAAGTAGGAAAAATTTTGAAATTGAAAAATAAGTTGATGATACAAGGATATCACCATTCCCGTGTAAAGTCCAATTTCGCAAATTCTATGGTCAATACAATGACCTAGTTAGTAAATACAATGGAAATCTTATACGGTACCAATCTATCATTAAGTCGAATGTTAACTGATATTTTCGTACAAATTGTTAAGCCATTATTTTCACATTGAATTGTCTACGGATTTTTTTTTCTGTTTAACCGATCGGGATAAGGAGCACACGGTGGGTGTGTCCGGTCGACAGGAGATGCTTACTCCTCCATGGCACCTGATCCCACCTCTGATGTTTTTACAGATCAGTGTTTGCTCTGCTCCCTATTTGTATTTTTCAGTGGACTTTTGAGCTTGATTACAGTTGGTAATCTTCATATTTCATTATACAAAAATAAAAAATATATTGCACATTGCACATAAATTCACTTTAGCCAAGTTACGGTTGTTTTTGAAAAGTATCAGTCGATAAATTCAGGGGCCCGTTTTACAAAAGAACTGACGACTAAGACCAAAACTTAATTCTGCTTATATCGTTTTAATTTACATTATATTGAAAATGGTTTTAATCTTTTTAAAGGGAATGTGGTAAGATATTTTTACGCTAGAAATTTTAAACAGAATGATTAATTTTGCAAAATCTTGCAATAAACTCAAGTTTTTGGTTTTAGTTGTAACATTTTTTGTAAAACGGGCCCCTGAATTTGCAGGAAGAGAGAAATATACCAAATTACACAGTAATTCTATTGTTTCACTCGAAGCGATTAAATTACGAGTGAATTGGAGCATTCTTTAGTCCATTTTTGAAATTTTAGGGCTTCATCCAGATAAAGTGGGCTAAGTGGAAGAGAGTATTATTGACCAGATCCATTGCCATGGGGCCTACCATAGCTGTGGCGCTGTTAGCAACTAATGACCTTGACATGATGAATAATTGGCTGAATGTCCTTCAGAGTGTACAGCTACCATTCGCCCTGTTACCTGTGTTACATTTTACCAGTAGTGAACGAATCATGAAAGAATTCAAGAATGGAAAGTAGGTACATATATAAATTTTGTAATAAAATAAATGAAATTAGGAGAAGATATTTTTGTATTACTTTGGGTTTTTTGATTTGATAAAACGATATATTCAATCGTAGGGCAATGAAGGCTATTGTTTGGTTACTGGCAGTGTTAGTTATGGGCATTAATTTCTTCCTAGTCATTGTATTTGTGGTACGTATTCTTTAATCAAACCTGTTCAAGTGCTTTAAATTTTAAATTAAAGCTTCCATCCAAAGCTAGATACATTTAAATTCCAAATAAGTATATATATCATATAATATGGATCAAGAATATTCTTTTCGAATACCTTCGTTCATCTGTATTTCCTATTTTATGATATCTCGCAAAAATATTATGGAAAATAGTTCAGAATCAATTAAATATACGATATATATATTAGATACTAGATTGATTTAAGGAATAACTTTCTAATTTTTTGGATTCATGATGTGATCAATCGAGTGGCTTGCGTGATAATTTGCATAAACGCCGAAGGCGTTTATGCATAAAATTATCACGCAAGCCAATCGATTGATCATCGTCATGAATCCAAAAAATCTGACAGTTATTCCTTATATTTACATGCTCCTGATTCTGCAAATTCCCGTGCTAATAGCCCCGCTTCTGTGTCTATTTGTCCCGCCCCGCACGTGATTTTTTTTAAAACCGCGCCTATCGATGAACCAGTAGATTTATGTAGAAATAAAGTATTTTTACAATTTGTAATTTTATCTCGGACAAAGACATTGGAAATGTAAATATTCCTTAAATCAATTAAATATACGTAATGTTACTCTATTGTAATGATATCATGTATTTAATTGTACATGTAATTTTTTTCTTTGACATTCCAGGGAGCGGACCAGTCCTGGTATACGTATCTAATCACGTCAGTCATACTTATCATATACTCATTATTTGTAGCGTATATAGTAAGTAATCAGTTTTCTTATATGCAGATTTTATGCATTTTAAATTGGGTCAAATAGAAATTGAATCATGATATGTAGTTTCTTTGTAGACTTTAATTTGAAAGAGAAAGCACAAATTTAAAAAAAAAAGTGCTTAAAATGCTGTGTTCTGATTGTACTATACATTGTCATGATCTAAGTCTTCAATTTAACATTAAAAAAACAAAACAAACAAGCAAGACTTTGTAAACACATTAATGTAAATAGATACTAGCAAGGAAATCCTTTTTGGCAAGGCATAAATATTGCGTTCTTATTGCTTTCATACAATCGTGTCCAGGCAAAACTTTTCAAAAACATTCATCGTAGACTTATGATGTTTGGCATATGAGGGAATCAACAATAGGTAACATGTTTAGCTTTATCATGAGTGACCTTCGACCTCAGAGTCAAATTACTTTTTATCAAAAAAGATTTCCGGACCTGAAATCTTTAATCGTTTAATCTAAGCTTATGATACATGGCAGACTTCTTTAAACACCATTACAAATCACATATGGACGTGGATTCGACCATAGTCTTAAAATTAAATTATTTGCATATTTTTGGCAAGAAAACTCGATAGATGTAAAAGGTGACGATAACGAAGTGATCAATCTCAAAAACCCAGTAAAGAATAAGAATCGTGAACAGAACAAAAAACAGAACTTTGGATGAAACCAGAGGTAGGATCAGGTGCCTAGGAGGAATAAGCATCCCTTCGACCAGTCACACACGCCGTAGACTTAATGGTATAAACTATTACCTAACAATTGGTGGGAAACATGTCAGTCCAAAAAAAAAAAAGAACTCAATGATAGGATGTATTTACAAACAAGGTCATTATTAAGATCATATAATTTGCAGATTAATGATTTTAACCGAGATAGTTGAAAACCCTGTAACAATAACCCGGTCGGGGTAGCCTTGTAATTGGGCGGTCGCTTCATGATTGTGAGATACAGGTTTCGATTCTCGTTCCTGCGCCGCGTCTCACCTGACGATAACATAGTTAGTGACTGTTCCTTCGCCAAGCGCCCGGCATTAAAAGTGAAAGTTTTGGGTCTATCGGGTGAGACGGTAGGCGTTGGCAAGATAAAGAACCTCACTGCTCAATGGCCCTAAGTGCCGGGTAAAGGTCTAAATTTGAAGCCCTTCACCGGTATATGGTGACGTCTCTATATGAGTGAAAATTCTCGCCAGGGATTATACTACACACAGTCAATCAATACAGTTGATAGTTTGATAGCTTTTTAAATACTTTTACCATTTTATAAGGTCCTTCGGATGAGACCGCATAAACCGAGGTCCCGTGTCGCAGTAGGTGCTGGCACAAAAAAGATCCCTCACTGCTCAGTGGCCGTAAGTGCCGAGCATAGGACAAAATTTGCAGCTCTCAACCGGCAAAGTGGTGGCGTCTCCATATGAGTGAAAAATTCTCGAGAGGGACGTTAAACAACATACAAACAAACAAACCATTTTATAACGCTAACAATATTATTATATACCCGATTATTACGCAAACTTCTGTTCATGTAAGTGATAGACTTAAATCATTAAATGATACATTGTTAAAACTATGATACAGTCATTTAAGGTGACAGATTTTTTCAGCTGTTGGGCGGTCTTCATATTGTTGTAATTACTCTGCACCAAAATAGTATGCAATTTATGGAAGCCTTTCTGGAGCGCAAAAGTAGAGACTATAAAAGTAATGGTTGAAAGTACATATCAAGAATCTTTACTTTGAAGAAGAAATTGTTTTATTGCTATTCACGGGAATTTTATACTTGTCAACAAAAGACCAAATAATAAAAGATAAATTCTTCCTAAATACTGACATTGATTTCAGGCTCTGGGTCCTGGCAAAGTTCTGAAGATAAAGGTATGTTGCTTACTGTATAATAAAAAAAAAACTATTTCATTGGATATTTTAATTATTAACTATACATGCAAATTGCCAATTCAACTGCAATGTACAATCGTACGATTAAATGTATATGCTGATATAAATTCAACTTTATTCTTTGAAAGCTCAAGGATTATATCAATCTGTGAAGAATAAAATCCTCAACTATCTTTCTAATATTTAACAATTACTTGTCTTCGCACTGTGATATAATTATACCCACACCTTCTAAAGAATATGTTATTCGTCTGTCTGTCACACTATCTAACACCTCAAACCAATTCATCCAACTTTGTCAAACTCCACTTAAATTTTATGAAAGAGACAAATTATATTTTGGAATATTTTAGATGGTGTTCTGTTGATATGCAATAAGGTTTTGGAATTTTCATTTTCACTCTAAAGGCAAATTTAGGGGCGAAAAACAACATATTCCTGCGAAAACCTTGTTCTCAAATCTTGTTCTCATAATTTCTATATTTTTTTTTATGAAGTAGCCAAATTATATTCTGTTATATGATTGATTATGTTCTGTAGATGTGCAATAAGGTTTCAGAATTTTTATGTTCACCCTGGGAGCCAATTTGAAGTCGTAAAACATTTTTCCACAAAAGCACCCTGGTTCCCAGAACTCTAACTTTTTAGGCAGTAGCCAGTTCATCTTTGTGATTGGAGATATTCAGTCGATGTGTAATTAAGTTTGAGAATTTTCATAAAAGAGGTCAATTTAAGGCAATAAAACGACATCACTCTTTTAAAGCCATTTCTAGAACGTTCTTACAATTGACGCAGTAGCCAAATGATTGTTTAGATGCTTTATATTTCCAGGAGGCCAATAATTGTCCGATAATTTTATATTTTAAGTACAAAAGCTTGCTTTTCAACTGTAATGAATTTATTGTATGAAATACTAATATAAGATGCCCATGTAGGCTAATTGGCTACATGCTCACCTTGGCATTTCATGTTCAATTTAATATTTATGAAAATTATTGAATAACACATTAGTCACCCAAAGATAATAATTTTAGAGACAAACACTCAAGTGAGTATTTCTGTTTTATGATAACATACAGTCATGGTATGAATTCGACAACAATTGTGTCTGTGTTGGGGCAACGATTTTAGTAAAACAAAATACCTACGACAATATCATGGGTTTAAATGAAGAAAGTGTGAGGGATTACATGCGGGGATCTAGAGGGAGTGGGGGTCCGAACCCCCTCCCCCTCCTGGAATTTGCATAGTTATAAAAAGTATATACTGAAGCAAATAAAAAAAATGACTTTGGAACCCCCCCCCCCTTTAGAAAACGTGGACCCCACCATCACCACCACGAAATAGGTGTTTTTCACGTTTGGGAAAAGGATTTTACGTTTTTGTTTTTTTGTTTTGTTTTTTTTATTTTATTTTTTGCTTGTCAAGAAACTTTTGGGTTGGAATTTTTTTTTGACTGGGGTGCCCCCCCCCCCCCCCCTTGGAAAAAATTCCTGGATCCGCGCCTGGACTAATAATTCAAGTTCAAATATGATGTCGACACTTTTTTCTTTGTGAGGATAATTAATCTACCACATTTTGATCAGCGTTGAAAAAAATGACTTTACCATTTAATGTTGCCATATAATTCTTTGCCGATATAATTGACCAGTAGAATATGACTTCACTATTTAATGTTGCTTTATGTAATTCTTTATACATGTAGATATACTTGGCCTGGAGAATATGATTTCACTATTTAATGTTGCTATGAAATTCTTTATACATGTAGATTTACTTGGCCAGGAAGTTTGGTTGGAATGAAGAGCTAGTCATAGAGGAAATGCTGAGGAGGAATTCCCTCACCTATCTGCCAGACAATGTCCATGCTTTGTAGCACTTCTTAAACTCAGTACAAATTCTTTTCAACTAACTTTGTTTTGAATGTTTAGCTTTGTTTACTGATGTCAGTACAAAAAAAAATTAAACATTTGATCTTCTTACTTATTCAATTTACTTATAAAGACAATAACGTGTAATGAAGTATACCGGTATTATGACAACGTTATATAACACTTTTATAAATTTTAAGTGAAAGCTTGAATTTTACCAAAATCGCACTTTTCTTACAAATGACAGATGGCAATTGTGATGATATTTGAAGGAACGGAAATCAACAGTGAATGAAGAAAAGGGACATACAGGTCTAAAAACAAATTAAATGCTCATTTTGGAAATTAATATACTGCTGCCAAACAAAAAAAAGTAATAATGATAATTACTTGTATAAAAAAAATAAAATCCTATATTTTAAGCATTTATATGTAGTTAAACATAACCCTTACTCCACAAAAACTTCACATTAACATGAAACAGAGAGAAACACAACAAAATGTTTGTAGGAGCATTAGTTATTATAATAAAACTTTAATGTTTGTAGGAGCATTAGTTATTATGATAAAACTTCTTTTTTCTTATAGTGTCTTCCTTGACATTTCTTCCTATAAAGGACAAATTACAAAATAAAAGACTTATTTGTAGAACGAAACAAAACTTCTGAGATTTGATTAATAATGTTTTTTGTAACATATGATTGATGGGATTAATAACTGGGGTTTCAGAGGAACCTTAAATTGTTTGTAATCTCAAAGTGATGATAAAACACGATACAAAGCTCCTAAAGGGGATTATTGGCTTGTGTTTTCTCCAGATTTTATCAACTGAATTTTTTACAGGCTTTTATTTAAAACTAGAATTATGCAATTTGAAAGTTTTTTCCCCCTGAAAGAAATAGAATAACAAAACAGATGCCATATTTTTGGGGTTCACAATACCTCAATGTAATTCAAAGAAACTCCCATAAATATTGTTTTGTTGAAAGCCTTGATATTTATAGCTTTCTCCTTGCCATGAAACACGAACTACGCGACAACATATCATTATCATTAGATAACGAGCTATAAAATCTGATTAAAGAATCATCTGACAGTTTATTTTACGTGGTTGATTTTAGACTTATTTTGTGTATTCAAGACGAGCCAATACACAGATATGGAAAATTTAGCTACTAGTAACTGACTTAATTAAAATGTGAATAAAGCTAACTTCTAGTAACTGGTTACTAGTAACTATCTACAAGTGGGAAAAGTTAGCTACTAGTAACTGGCTACTAGTAACTGACTTAAAATGTGAATAAAGCTAACTTCTAGTAACTGGCTACGACATGTGAGTAAAGAGTAAAGGTAGTGTTGGTACTTTTTATATTTCTAGGCTGTGCTTCGTAAATTATAATTTTCGTTATCATACTTCGTTCATTACTAAGGAAAAAGAGAACACAGAGGGAAAATTTTTTACTCTACCATACATTTTTGAAATAATCTGCTTAAAAGAATTCTTATTTACTTGATAAAAATACTTTGGTGTTAAGTAGATTTTGTACAATTAGAATATTTTAGCTCACCTGTGCCGATATATGTGAGCTTTTCTGATCAAAGAGTGTCCGGCGTCCGTCTGTCGTCCGTCGTCTGCAAACTTTTCACATTTTCGGCTTCTTCTAAAATACCACAGGGCCAATTAAAAAAAAAACTTGCCACAAAGCATTCTTGAATAAGGGGGATTTAAATTTGTTAACAGGACCCACACCCTCCTTCAAGGGGAGATAATTAAGAATTCGTGAAAATTTGATGGGACCTTTTAAAAATCTTCTCAAGAACCGCTGGGCAAAATAAAGATGAAACTTAAGTGAAAGCTTCATGACATACTCTAGATTCAAGTTTGCTCATATCATAACCCCCGGGGTAGGGCGGGACCACAACAGGAGGTCAAAGTTTTACATGAGAATATATAGGGAATGTCTTTAAAAATCTTCTCTAGAACATCAAAGCCATGATTAGTCATATTACTAGAAGTATCCTCAGGTAGTGTAGATTCAAGTTTGTTCCAATCATGACCCCTTGGGGTAGGGCTTGGCCACAACAGTGGGTCAAAGTTTTACATAGTAATATATAAGTGTAATGGATAAGGGGTATTTGAGTAAAACGCATTGAAGACTTCAGATAGTGAAATGACCTGACAATCCTTTAATGGATTAGCAAAAGGGTATATAAGGCAAAGCTTTGGGAAAGTCAGGCATTCAGAAGCTAGCAGAAGTGGAATGTTGTTCAGCAATAAAGAAGTTAAGATATTTCATCCCTAATAGCAACAGATTCAATGAAATTGAATATATAACAGATGTGTAGGGGTTGAATACTTGGTATATTTAGACATAATTCCGATTTATTACTATTAGCATGTAAGAATAGGATGTGTCCTTATTCTGACCTTGAATTTTGGTAAGAGTTACCGTATCTCCTTCTGTTTTTTAATAAATAAAAAAAAATCAATTATAAAAAACTTATCTGGTAACAAAAAATGTTTTCAATTGTCATTCTATTTCTAATGTTTTAAAGCATCTTTCGATCACAGTATTTATTGATATTCTTATTATTTAAATTTTTATTTTTAAAAAATTGCTTGTCCCCATAGACTTCAATGCAATCTTTGTTAATCATTTAAGACTAGAGAAATTGGTCCTATTAAGGATGGGAAACCTTGAGGGTAAGAGCAAATTAAAAGTAAAAAAGTTATAAACACCAGTGGCAAGTATCCTAGGAAGTTGATGTTAAGTTCTGGTGTAGTAAATCTGAAGAAGATTGAGACACCCGGTTCTTATCTATCAATGGGAACCTAGAGGAGAAACACGGTGCAAGTAATACCTAACCCAGTTCCCGTATCTAGATAAGAGAAAACTGATCATACATGCACGTTTCATAGGAAATATCTTTAAAATCTTCCTCTCAAGAACAACTCAGTCATTATTAGTCATATTTATACAGAAGCATTTGTTTTGAAATTGATGGTAATATGATTAATCCGGAAAACGAAGTAAAATTACTCGGCGTGACTATAGATTTTGAACTTAAGTTTAGCTCTCATATTTCAAACATTTGTAAGAAAGCTTCACAACAACTGAATGTACTTAAAAGAATAGGGGTTCACCTGACTAAATTAGGAAAACTAACAATCTATCATACATTTATCATGTCAAACTTCAATTATTGCCCATTAGTTTGGCATTTTTGTGGTGAACGAGAGAAGAAAAATGGAAAAAAAATACAGGAAAGAGCATTGCGTTTCGTCTATGACGACTACAAAAACTCATATAGTTATCTTGTGGATAAATCAAAATTGCCATGCCTCAAACTCCGGCGTATTAGAACAATGGCCATAGAATGATTTAAGATTTTATACAAACAAAGCCCATCTTACCTGCACGATTTTATCCATATTAAAGAAACGCCATATTCTTTTAGATATACGAAAACTGCTGTTTTACCAAAAACAAGATCAACAACATACGGTTTGAAGTCTTTTAGATATGAATCCGCAAAACTCTGGAACTCTTTACCAGAATCTTTTAGAAATATTACTACTTTTAACCAATTCAAATCAAACATAAGTAGTTGATACGGAAATAGTTGTAATTGCTGTGTTTGTCGCTAAATTTTATTTTTAGATAATAGTAAACAGGGTTTATTTCAGTTTGTTGGTCTTATTGTAATGAATACTATGTCATATGTCATTGTAATGCATCACGGGGTATATTGATATTTTAGTAGTGTGATTTTTAAGTACTGTTTCTTGTTTATTCGTATTGTTGTATTATATGTAATATTATTATGTAGTCGGAAAATAGCTCTTCAGAGCTAATGTTTTCTGTTTGAATTACCCGACTTTAAATAAATATTACCTTATCTTAACTTAGAAGCAACCCTAGGTATTGTCGAATCATTTTTTTCCTTCAAATTATGACCCCCGAAGGATGGGGGGCACAACAGAAGTTTTGCATAAGAATATATAGGAATCATCTTGAAAAAATCCTCTGTTCAAGAACAGTAAAGCCATGATTAGTTTTATTATTATAGAAGCATCCTCAGGTAGTTTAGATTCAAACTTATTCAATTTAGGGTAGGTAGGTTAGGGCCAAAGTGAGCGATCAGAGTTTTACATAGGAATACATAGGGAAAAAATCTTTAAAATTATTCTGCAAAGAACAGCAAAGCCATGATTATTAATATTGATATTGTTACTTTTTACAAATGACGTATTTAAACTAAACATGAATAAAAAGACATACACATACAGTCTGTACGTATACTATTGACCCCTGACGTCATTGGATTTACACGTATTGCAAATGCGTAATGCACGAATTATCTGTAAGATCAATGTTTTTCAATCTTTACAAGCCTCCTAACTGCACCTCATATCTACATTAAAATCATTTGCATTTGCCGAAGTTTCCGAGCAAAAATAAAAAGATTTCTGTTGAAAAACCGCATTAAACCGGTCAAAACAAGACAGATCGAACTCAATCACATAGTTGATTTTTTTTTACCTTTTATTCTTGTTTGTTAACTAAATGTAAACAACGTAATGTTGCAGCATTTATGTTTAAAGAATAAACATTTCAGTTGGCAATAGTCATTATTGGAAATGCAATGTTAAACAACTCCAATAAAAATATTTTTATGAAAGAACGGAGAGAGAAAAAAGGATCAAGAGTACATTAACTGGTGTGGGTGTTTACATACAATGCTTTGGTATATTATGAAAATTGAAGATAACGAACAGTAGTCAAGCTCACAAGTCCACCGAAACAAATTTGGAGCAGACCTCTAAAACATCTGAAGTGGGATCGGGTGCCTTGGAGGAGTGAGCGTCCCCTGTTGACCGAAAACTAAGACCCAACATCGTAGAAATCATTCTGTTATGCATAGCTATACATTAGTATGGTTTCTTCAATGTTGGATCTCTTCCAATTAGAGAGCTTGAAATTATTCAATTAAATAATAAAACAAAATG